GTTGCTGTTGAGAGTTCAGATATAATTGTTCTGCATCACAGTCACCTATTCTGTAGGATATTTGTGGAGATATTGCTATCCTCTCCTACCCTTCTGCCATTTTAAATATGTAACCTCATAGGCAAGATGGAACAGGTAGGTCCACTTCCTTGAAGCAGAAAAGTCTGTTGACTGTACCCCCCTGCAGACTCAAAATGTTTTTATTTACACGATTATTCCATCTTCGGTATAATGACCCCCATGTTTAATGACTGTAATATATCAGAAACAACTATGTACAGATTTGCATTTCCTTATAAAATTATAATTTTCTGCTTTCATATTTCATTTGGATCTTTTTACAATACTCATTTTTCTTGTGCGTAAACACTAAATTAATTATGATTACATCCAAGACATTTTGATACTCTAATGAAAGTTAATTGGAATTAAGTTATTAATCCTAATTACAGTAAATGAAATGTGGGAAAATGAATTATTTCTTGTAAAGCTCTCTTCTATTTCATTAGTTTCTAATTTTCAACATTTCCATGTGTTATTTGGAATATATTGCTATATTTAACTTCACCACATAAAATTAAGTATACTTTTTCATAGCGTGCCTTGTTTCTTTGTTTACTTGGAAAAATCCATATACAATTTTCCCTTTGATATTCTTTCATTAACTACTTTACTGACGCAAAACCATCAATTAGAAGCAGCATGGTACTTCTGATATAAAACTTTTGCCCAAAATGCCTGCTCCAGAAAAGCATTATCTGCCATTCCTGAATGATAAAAAAGTTGAAGGAATAAGAAATTACATGAAGTTTAAAATCTACTGAGCTCTGTTAATTGCACTACAGTAAAGACTAATACTACCAGGTACGGTCAAGCAAGGTCTTTTTGCAGGGTATTTACTGATGTATTACTAATGCTTTTTCTTTTTTTTCTTTCTTTTTTTTTTTTTTTTTGCCTTTGCTACAGTTGCAATACAGGCCCAAGATATATATTTAATAATTGGAGCATCCACAAAACTGCACAACAATTCACAATTCATCATCACCAATAAACCCACAATAATACAAAGAAAGAGAGGTTTAACAGTCTTTTTTGGAGAAGGCTTTGCTTGTTTATCTTCAAAGTCTCAAATTCAAAGTTTGTCAAGAATCATAAATATACCTGTAACAATATAAAAAGTTTTAAAATTAAAGAAGCCTGAAGAAGACAATTAAGACAGTAGCTGTCTCAGCACTAGGAAGCCATCACGCCTCTTGGTAAAATAAACTCCCAAGGGTTTAACATTCCATCATGTTATCATATAAAACAGCAGCTCTTCAGCCTAGTGCAAGGTTAAAGCTACTGACTCTGTAGTATACTAGTAGCCAACATAAACACCAGGCTTGCAAAGCAGAACCTCTAATCTGCAATTAATGTGCATGTGGAAATTTGATATAAGTCAAAAAAAACAGCCAAGTGACTATAAAGAGGAATGTACAGACAAAAGTTACTACAAAGAGACATAGTAAACATTGCTATTCTGGACAGTGGCAACTTTTTATTACCAGAAAGATGCCCCTCAAGGTAGTATCAGTTATGTGATGACAACAATCAGTCCATTTTTAAAGTTGCAGTCATATTCCATTGTAAAGTCACATTTTGACCACTTTTGTTTTGGAGAAAAACTACTGGCCTAAAATCCAGAGAATTAACTTAAGGGCAAAATAGATCTTTTATTCCCTACAATATGGAAAACAGAACATCTGTTTGTAGTTATGGAACATCACTGAAAAAAGATGACACAAAAGAGAAATTTTGGGTTGCCTTAACATTTTATATCCTGGTAACATAAAAAGCTTTTTGTTCAGTGAAAATTGCCATGCTGCTGTATCTGACTCCTGCCTCCCCATATTTAATAATATACTATCAAGATTCTAAATCATCTTTTTTGGGAAAAAAAAAAAAAAATCACCTGACCAAAATGCTTTCATTTGGAGTGACATATTTAAGAAAAATATAGGATCACAAAGTGATGGCAAAATTCAGTAAGCCCAGACTTCACCTCCAGAACATACCGAAATATGGAGAGTCGTCTTATCACTGCTTTCAGCAAGACCAAGACTGAGGACATCAGTAACATTAAAAAAAAAAAAACCAAATTCTAAACAACAATGACAAAACCAAAATCCAAACCAAACAAAAACAAACAAAAAACCCATACCAAAAAAAAACCCTACAACTCAGACCCCTTATCAACTTATGTAATACACCAAACCATGTCAAAATTCAGCAGATTTCAAAATAGCATGTACCGTGAGGACTGGGTATGCTGGAAAGAAGAGAGAGAACCAAGATTGTTTACTTAGTGGTACTCTTATGAGATCTGTAGCTCCTGGATTTTACTTCCAGAAGAAACAAGTCTGCTCGTGTTTTCTTGCAAAGAGGATTACTGCCATAAATCATCCTGAGGATGTATGTCCCAAGAGATTTAAGACAGTACTAATTCTCTATTAAAAAGTCCTCTCCAATTTCTAGAAAAAAGGCCAGTTGTCTATATTGCAAGGTTCATTTAATTTCCAGTTAACTTTGCTACGATAGTTTTTTTCTAAGATAAGAGTCAACTCATGAACTGCATTTTATCAACCAGCTTTAATTCTTAAAGAGGTTTTAGGAATCAAGTAAATATGCAAAATCCCATCTTTTCCAGTCATTCTTAGCAAGCTCTCCTTTTCCTGATCATCTCAGAAGATTAGTATCAGAGAAACAATTTTTGTGTCTTATAAAGAAGAGAAAACACTACTTTTCATCCATCATAATTTGCATTCAAGAAACTATGGAGCAGAATACAGCTCACTTGCCCATGGAAAAAGAACATCTCTGGCATAGCTTTCCATCAAATTGATTTGATTTTCTGAACGTGTCATTCTTCACTCTTGTAAATACCTTTTGAAATAAATCAGATAGTGTTGTCTTTTCCTCTCAACAAATAAAAAAGTTATATGAATAGAATGCTATAGAATTGGAACAATTATGAACATTTGAGAAAAAATTTCTTTAAGTCTTTTTCAATACTTGCTTTATGAATGCTTCCTGAGTTTTTATTCATTATTTCACAATGTAGTTACAAGATGTGAAATCAAATGGAATATTTCAGTTAAAACACTACAAAACCCAAATGAAGTATTACTAGATACATGCTTTTCTCTTAAAATGAAAAATATTGAAAAACTTAATGTAAACAGTACTTGAGAATTAAGGTGGAAACATCATCTAGATCTAATAATGTTGTTATGTCTGCATGTACCAGCTAACCTCATGAAAGGTATGCAAATTTATGCCAGGTCTCAATAAAAAAAAAGCAATGTAGAAATCCCATACCCTCTACATGTCAGTTACAGAGCAAAACAATTTTTTAATTCCTTTGGAATAATGAATCAAATAACTAACAGTTCTAAAAAATAATTTTTTACTGTGAGCGAAATGAAAAAATGGGCAACATTTTTTTTTTTTTTTTTTTAATAATCACATATGCTATAGTACATCGCAGCTTCCTGCAGGTATCCTGACAGACCTTAGAGGCAACAGTACAGAGGATGAGGAGGCCCTGAGAGGTCAGTGCTCACATTAAACAGAAGCAGAATCGGAGAGGACACTTGGACATATATTAGCCTAAATAAAAGGAAAGACTTTTTTGGACCAAGAGTCTTTCTAGTAACACTGAGAACAGGATTCCCTTGCATAGGAATTCCCTATTCCTTTTTTCTCCCTCAGAAGTTATTGATGCTGTTATTTCTACAGTTTCACCATCTGACCACCATCTTCTTTACTCTAATTTTTTTTTCTGCATAGCTGTATGGACACCTATTCATGAGATGTCTCATAAGAAAGACAATCAGATATGAACGATGAAGGAAGTTTCTTTCATCTCTTTAAGTAAAGATCACAAATGCATGGACATTGTTGATTGCATTAATAGAATTCATAGCTTCAGCTTGCTCTTAAAACAGATGGCACAGCCATCCCAGCAAGTATTCCTCTCTCTCAAAAACTGTAATATAAAAGCCAAAGTGTCTGGCAAGGCTATACAGTTAAATGGTAACACATCCTTGGGTCGAAAATTCAGTTTCAGAGCACACAGAATAAAAACATGTTCACCTGGCAACTAGCAGAATGAGACTCAAATTTCCACACTTGCTCACTATGCAGCAATACCAAGCAAAAGAAAATTGCAAACATAATAGTAGAGAATACCAGTATAGAAAACTGAGTCCTGGCCTGTGAAATGATTTTTATTTTTATGTTTAAAAATAACAGTCATATGAGAATTTTATCCAGAACAGACTGCAGTGGAAACCTATTGAATTATCCTCCCAGTTTAGGCAAGTAATAACCCATTACTCAGTTTACTCTGAGTTATGCTCATTACTGCATATTACCACTTTCTAACTTGTTATTTTGGGAAGATGCACCCTGTGAACAGATACCATTAGACAAACTGAAATACTATTGTAGAACTACATTGTAACTGGGATAAGAAAGCATGAGTAAGACTTCTGGTTTTACTGTGAAAAAAATCCATTTTTATTCTACCATAATTCCAGAGGATTTGACACTTCAATATATCCAGTAGATAGGATCGTTACTCATTGCTGTTGCTATTGCTTAAAAGAAGTTTGTGCTATTAATTTTAATTTTTATAGTACTGTAAGCATGCAGCCTGATGTTAAATTCCTTTGCAATCAAAATTTCCATCCATTTAGCATCCATTCAAAGGAAACAGAGGATCAAGCAAAAGAGGAACAATGGTTTGCTTCCTAGAAAACCATCACATAACTCAGAACAAGAATCAATTGCCAATTATTTAAGAAGTAGAACTTTTTCATCGGCAAAACAGACATTTACTAAGTTTCTATTTGCTACTTCGTTTGGCTAATTCACGTCTGCAGTTTTCAAACTAAAAGCAAGATAGAACGCACTGTGTTCTAAAGGCAATAGGACAAAATAACTTCATATTTTCTTACCTTTGCATTATAGGGAATATAATGCTTTGATAAGGCTTCAGGAGTGTGCATCCATGTTTTGTCTACAGAAAAGCAAAATAAAAGAAGCACTGAATAGGTTAACCAATTGTTAATTTAATCATTACAGTATTTATCTGGAAAACATCAACAACCCTCCTGTTACTTGGGTAAGTATCTATCTGTATTGGGGCTGGAGGTAAAGGCTGTATCTCTCACAACTTTCCAAACATTTACATGAAAGAACCGGTTACTTCTCTTGGCCACACTTCTCAATTTAACCAACTTGATTTACCATAAGAATTCAACTCCTCCCTCCAAACATATTTATTGGTCTAAGGTTGTTTGCTGTGTCTGCCTCAGATCAATATTTTCTGCGTCCTACTGTTGTTGTTCAAAGCACTGACTGCATGTTGTGCTCCTAACCATGTTTTTTAATGAATTATGGGGGTATTCAGAAATTATCAAGACATTAAAGGGACAAAGGAAATTATTTTGGAAAAATTATCGGAGCGATAATTGATAGAAAAAAGCCCTAATCCTTTGATAGGAAAACAGAAGCAAGTCAGATTATAGTAACTGATCCAGAAGTTTAGATCTTCTTTAATCTTTCCTTAAATATCCTGAATTAACTTGCATATTTTCCTTTAACGATTTTCATACAACAAGACTCCAGTACTGTCTTACTTTTCCTGCCACGTGTTTCATATGGTAACATATGTTTGTTATTTGTGAAATACATCTTCTTTCCTTCTTTTTAATGGCCATTTAGAATGTTCTACATAATTTAAGACGGAATTCAAATAATTAGAAAAAAACTTATCAGAAGTTTAGAAAACATTTTTTGAAACTTTTCTTGTTTTTAAGAAAAAAATAAAAAGGTCCAAAATACTAAGTTGTACTACCAATCATATGAGAGATTCTGTAACACCGAGTAGTATTTTATACTTCATACATTCAATATTCAGTAGTATTTTCTAACATGAGACTATTCCTGTTTTAATTAGCATGAATTAACATTGCAAATCTGGAACTTTATTGAATTAAGTAACAGAATAATAGCTTAAAGTAAAACTCTGCCCTTGGATATTCACAGACAACTCCCTTTGCCCTTAATGAGAACTGCAGTTACAGCAATTACTAACTTTTTTGTTAGTTACACATAAGAACAATAAAATCCTGTTCACTCAAACTGTTCAAAAGCAAAAGCTGTAACGTTTATTGACACTAAACCCATAACTAAGTATTTTTGAATATACGTAAGCAAGAAACTGTTAAACAAGATATTCACTAGTCACCACAGTAACAGGATCAAAACTGCAAAGCTAGAGGAGATTTTTTTTCTTTAAGCAATTTCATTCTAGATGACAGTAACACACAGCTCCATTACTGAAGAGTGGTATCATCACTTCTTAATTAAGGAAGCATGATTTGTTCATTCAGCAGCACCCAGGAGTACGATTATGCACTGAAGCTGCTCTTCCTTTCAATTGTGGCTTGTGATTGGAATATCAGAACCAAGAATCACATTCATTTCCCAGACTGTTTTAAGATCTGACGCCTGATCGCCATTTTCAGTGCAACATCAAAAGCTGGTGTTATCCACAAATGAAAAATAACAATCCATGTGAATCAGGAATGTTAGAATAAAGCCTGACAACCCAAACAATAACTGTAAGCATTCAGTTTCAAGCCAGTGCACTGCCGAAGGCCAGACAAGCAGACTGGTGATGGGGCTTGATCAAGTCTCAGACTCAGAGGAAGCCGGTCTGTACGGCAGGACAGTGTTCTCTGTCCCATCATGCTGGCTGCAGCAGGGTGAAGACCTGCACAGTGTAAATTTCAGCTCTGAAATATGCCTTCACATTGCTAATGTCAGTGTTTTATTTATCCCTTTCTAATGCATCAACTGTTTACTAGCTTCAGCAGCATACTGGCGTATTTATAAATACATAAAGGAAAATCTAATAAAAATGCTCCAAAACAAAACATTGATTCTCTTCAAAAACAAAACAAACAAACCAACCAAAACAAACAAAAAACCAAACCAAATGGTCTTCCACTCATTTCAGTGCCTAGTACTAGCACAAACAAGCAATAAGGCTGTAGCTTCTAAAGCGATTTTACAGGCAGACCATCGACTACACAGGTACCAGTAAAATTAACTATTCCTTGCAAATGTTTCCTCCTCCTTTCTTCCCATCCCCAAGCAGGGTAAGTTCAAATCTGAAAAAAGTGATTTAGGAGCCAAGTTTGAAATGTTGCCCTTAATTAAGCAGCTAGTAATCTTCTCAATACCATAACTAGGTGCAAAACTTTACCTTAAAACTTTTTCGTGAAATTATCCACTTGCCTACCAACCTCAAACTGTAATGCTATAGAGATCCCATCAAGGAAAAACACTGCTAGGAAAGTGTTTTCATAACAGTTGGTACTCCTAGTTAGG